CATAAAAGTTTCTTATCATTCCACGATAACGTACACCGTTCAACAGAGTCCTCAAAGTCGCGCAATAGGCTTTATTACTTAGTTTTCCAAAGCCCGTAGTACAATTATCTTAAAAAAGAAATAAAAAAAACATTAGCTTATCACAACTAACATAGTTCAACAAAATTTGGTCATATTTTATCTTAAAAACGGGACCGACCTCATCTTATAGATGTTTTAATGCTGATTTGAAGTGTATTTACAGAACTTTCCTAGCACGACCAGTTTTTTAAAATAGATTTTGGACGTAGTTTTCCGAAGAAAAAAACCACAAATTAATAAAAGTCCCGTTCGTCTGATGGAGTCTACCTTATGTCGATGAGTTAATTAGAAATGAGTGAAAATTAAAAAAAAACTCAGTTCTTCAATTGCACGCATTTGTTTTCCCATAGATACGAAAATCTCAATCTATGAAATCTCCTTTACGCTCCTTTTACAGAGAGATAAACATAAAAATAAAAAAACGATAAAGACAAAGATAGAGATAGAGAAAGTCATAGAGATAAAGAAAAAGATAACACCGATGAATGAGGTATGTTAAGTTATGTTATGGTGTTATATTATGGTATATTATGTTTCGTTATCTTATGTTATGCTGTTATGTTATGCTGTGTTCTGTTATGTTATGTTGTGTTATGCTATGTTATGTTACATTATGTTTTGTTACATTATGTTATGTTATGGTACTTTAGATTACGTTATGTAATGTTATGATATGTTATATTATGTTATGCCACTTTATGTTACGTTATGCTATGTTATGTCATATTATGTTATGCTATGTTGTCTTATGTAATGTTATGTTACGTTATGCTATGTTATGTCATGATATGTATTTGTGTACGCAATTTACCTCAACTCACCACAGCTCATTTCAAATCGCCTAACATCAACTTCTCTTAGTTCACCTCAACTCATCTTAATTCACCTCACCCTAACTCACTTCATTTCATTTCAAATTTAGTGATTGAATTTCATCCCGCTGGGCGAATACTAGTTATTTTAAAAACAAAGTGATTTCAAGAACAAATCCACATTAAAAACTTAATATCCCAGATTCATCATTAGCCAGTCTTCTGTATTTAAACACTTTCCAGGTTCTGGAGTAAAATCCTCGAACATTTTTTTTTGAATCGCATTATCATCGCTTTTCAAGATCCAGCAATAGTCTGCAAGCATGTGGAGATTTGATTTGCTATCATACCACTTCTTTATAGTGGCTATGGCTTGGTGGAATCATTCGCCATGTTCTTTGCTAGTGTTTTTGTTTTTGTGTTTTACCAAGTTTTTTTTTATTTTTCAGCACTTTCTACTTAATCCATCGACATGAGATGGTATCTATCAGACCAATTGGATTTTCATTATTACGTGTTTTTTTTTCTTCTGAAAAGCTACGTCCAAATTCTATTTAAAATTTTTTTTTGGAATGTGCCATTTTTCGACACTTCAACATTTTTTTTTTCTCAAAAACTGGACCAAATTTTGTTGAACCGTGTAATTGTTGCCAAATATCTGCGCTTACATTTTCGTCAAGTGTTTGGCCGAGATCTTCCTCCAATTTGTGGTTTGCAGCTTGATGTTGTCTTTCAAATGGTCCCTCCACAATTTTACGACCGCTTATAGCGGCAAACAATTTTTATGAAAATGTTTTTCTCTGAAATCTCTTTTCATGGAAGGAATACCTTCAGAAATACTTGCGAGAAATATTTTTCTTTCAAAAAAAATTTCATACAAAAATTTAGCACGCACGTATTTGAATGTTCACATCTGAGTATGTATATGTAAGTGTACATACCCTGCAAAAAAATGCGACTGATCCGGAAGGATTCCGGGAACAATCGCAAAGGAACTTGCGACTAATATCACTTTTGATCTCTTTATATGGAATGCACTGTTCGCTTTTGTTCGAGCATATCCTATGAAGAGACTAATTGTTCCCATTTATATTCGAACGGACATAAAAATCGACTAGTCACTTTAAAAAAGTGCTCCAGATTGAGAGTAATCTCGGAATCTTTAGAGATTAGTGGCACAATTTTTTGCAGGGCAGGCATACCAAGCATGCATAGCGGGCGGTGACAACACTGTAGCTGAGTGCGCAAATATGGTTGCCACAATTTGTTGAGGGAGAAGGTCAGGATTCGCGCGTAATTGAATTGATAATTTACCAATATACAGTACTTTCGTTGATGTTTACCGTAAGATCAATTACGTTTCTGATTGATTATAATATATTTTCCCTCGGTGAAGGACTAAAGTTTTCTGCAGCGTTTATTCGCAGCAAGAGTTGTATGATCATTAAAAACTGTTTGCCATGGTAGCTATCGATATACCCATCGCTTACCCGTTATTCAGCATTCAGTAATGGGCTATTCGAAAGCTTTCATGTTAACTACAAGAAAATATACATATATACAACAGTACGACACGTACGACACCTTGTGAACCACCCAATAAATACTTTACTTGTCTCATCTCGGTAGATTTTTGAGCGAGGCTCCGTGCAGAGATCAGAAAGGCGAAAAGCTCACCTCAAGTGAGGGAACTCCGCTTCCTTCTTCAATTTGGTCGTTATCCGTGTATAATTTTATGGCAACATTTATATGTATGTATGTACCAGGGAGGAGAAAAAATATACGTTCCCGTTTCTCAAACAACTGGCCACTCCAGCAACTCAAGTTAGCCTCGAGCAAGCGTTCCTCTCAGATTATTCATTGCGATTGCTTATGTTCGTAAAACTTAGCAATACACCATAGACATAATATAAACAAACATTATTTTACTATCCCAATATTTACAATGAAATGAATTGCAGAGTTTATTTAAAGTTCATGGACTTCATAAACAAATTTAAAGAGTAATAAATATGAACGCAAATTAAAAGCAGTTTAATTTCAATATTTATTTTTAGTTTTTATTTATAAAATTAACAAAGATTCCTGAAAAGGCTTTTGAAGTCAGCTTTTTACTGTAAAATTTGTCACCGAGGACCAAAAAACAAAATTACTTTCGATAATGGTTATTGGTAACCAATAAATGATTTTGGTTGCTATAATAGTTATTCGTAGCTAAAAAAAAATTAAAATATTTCGCATTTATATTAGTTACGGTGACCGAAATAAAATATATCTTACGATAATGGTTAAAAGTTCCCTAGCTATTTTATAATTCTTGAAATTTAAAAAAATTTTGATTTTAAAAGTTTAAGGTTCTTCGAAATGTTAACATTAAACGGCGAAAGTGTTCTGTTAATAAAACTAGTGTTCCACCAAATGAAAAAATTACGTTGATTATAAGATGACGATGATCTGCGAAACAAAAATTCCACTTTTATAATTTTTATTGGTACAATCAAATAAAAAAATTATGTATGTATGTATGTATGTGCGTGAAGAGTACTGTAGAAAAATATTCCACGTTAATATTTAAGTAATTTTAAGTAATATGACTTTTAAGCTAAGGCGTGCGAGTAAACGTGGTAGCTTACTTTGTATGGTTCTACGGGACGTATACGTTGCATACAAACCTCTTGTTATATACATATATATTACTTTTTTAACCGACTTCAACAAAAGGAGGAAGGTTACCAATTCGTCGGAATATATATGTTAACGCATAACTTTGGACCACGTTAACCGATTTCTATAATTCTTTTTTTTTTAAAGTAAAGGTGTTACCTCACAGGTGGTCCCATATTATTTGGTTCAAATAAGTTAAATTAACGATGATCTTAATTTCTACGTGCAACATTAGGTGTAGTTTATTTCAATTAACTCAACATACTTAAAATATGCGAAAAGCAGGAGTTTTAAACTTTTTTAACTATCAATCAAAATATTTTGGAACTAAAGCTATCTTAAACCTCTCTCTTGTGATACTTTTTCATACTTATGTATATGTAGTTTAGAAGCAATTTCAAAACCATTTTGATTGATACTCGTGTTATAATAATTCATTGAAATGATTAAATGGTTTGAATTTTTCTTCTTAAACCGTTAATTCCCATAACTCAAGTAGAATTTGAATTTTCAAACATGTGGAAACCCTGCTATACATACATAAGTTGCTTAGAAGTAAAGCCTCAGAAAATTATACATGTTCGACTTTAAAAACAGGTGGCAGGCCTCTTCCAAATATTTCCCTACTAAAACCCTATTAAAACTCTTTCGTCTGACATCCATATTGTGATACATATTCAAATTACCAAATTCCCTTAATTAAAGAAAAATTTGATTTTTCAAACAGATGGCAACCCTCCTACAAGGGGTTTAGTACTAAAACCCTTATCAAAAATCTTTCGATTGATACCCATGTTGTAGTAATTCATTCAAATTAATTGAATTTATTGATTTAGATGAGCTTATTTGGCCTAAGTTGTGATTAGTGCAAGTAAAACAATCAATTTTTGTGAGTGACAGATGGTGTTCTTCTTTTTTAACGCATTTCGACGGTAAAAACATGTCTGCTGGTAAGACACTAGCAATGGAAATAATCTAATTTGAAAACGCATTGGTGAAAGTCTTCCAAGAAAGAAATCCAAGACAGCGGAAATATTTTATTAAAATTTAAACAGTTTTGCGTCTGTGATGTAAAAAGAAAAAAAACCTAAGTACCAAACCTGTCAACCAAATGACAGCAACATGACATCAATCGCGACATGCTTATCAATCACACCGACATTTTATATCTTAAGGGAGTAAAGCGAAACAGAAAAAAACTCCCATAGAAAAAAAGGCACTCAGCATGAGCGTCAGTCTGAAAAAAAATAATGAAAAAGGGCATGCAAATATAAAAATAAATAAAATAGGCGGGGAGCAGCAGAAAGCGCCTTTTTTAACTACTTATCTTTTACATACCAAAATACCTCAAGCGAATTCTACGCTTTTATTTTTTCATAATCAAATAGCTAATTATTTATTTAAAAATAATTTTTACTTTCCTCTTCTCTTATTTTGTTACAGGTGACACCAAAGCAGCTAATTTAGAATAGTCGCAGCAGCAGGAATAAGTAAAGAGCATACCACTACCGGCGTGCATTCTCCCCCACTCATTCACAGCACAGCACAGCACAGCGTAACACAGTGCCAACACATTGCCACATCGGTACAAGCACCAAATCACATTCACTTCACTGAGCAGGATGCGACATTGTCATTTAGTTGCACTGTCGATTGGCGTGTGTGTGGCAGCAATGACGCTGTTGCCCGCCACCGTGTGCGCCACCACAGAAGTACAGGAGACGCCACTGGCGTTGCCCGTCGCCGATCAGACACAACCGACCACGGCATCACAAGGCGAAATATGGGAGGAAGATGATCATGAGATTTTGATACGCAATGAGCGTGGCACAAAGAGCGATGGTAAGTAGATGATCATCAAACTGAATTATTTATGTACATAAGTATATAACTGAAGGTATACAAAATTATTTTCAAAATCGAAATATCTGAATATGGGTTTGTTGAAATTTTAGCACAGATATACGGTAATGTTAGTCTGTATTTAAGGCGCAGTTGATCCGATCGAACTTGCTCCCAGAACAGACGGCAGTATTTCAGATTTATCAATATCCTTGCAATAGGCCCAAACGCAATTACGGAAGTGCTTAGAAAGGGAACAATACTTGTATAGTAAAATAGGGCCTCGGCTGGCTAAAAGCTTACTATATAAAAGCTCCTAATTGACCTCCCCAAACAAAAATTTGAAATCATTACGGGCATCGTCAATGGGCACTGCAGGCTAACAGGATATCTGCATAAGTTGGGAATCTGGTCTAAGACTCTCTCCCGCCGCTTCTGCATTTCAATTTCGGAGACTCCATTGCATCTGCTACTTGAACGTGAACCCTCCTGTTGCATGGCGATGAATGAACAGCATAGGCAATGTGACCAGAGAGAGAGGACATACACTCCTCACCTCCAAAAGCTCTGCTGGTCTTTCTGGAACCTATAGGAAAGTGGTGCAGAGTGGATGGTTCTATTTATCTACGGACGGACGAATGGAAGGCCGGACAGACAGACTTGGCTTAATCGACTTCTCTCCTTTCATTCTGAGTATTAAAGCTGTTACAAAGAAACTGTTATATTAACAAAGCTAAAATATCCTTGGGCAGAAATGCGCTCGGTTATAAAAATATAAAAAGTGCTTATAGGCGAGCTTGCTAGATTTGCAAGTGATTACCCTAACTTTACATTCGTTTTCAAATTATAACTTGGTTATTGCACGCTACTAACAAAAACAGAAAAATTGCTTTAAATTGTTATCTTCAAACTTTTTCATTATGCGTTCAGAGGATGAATAAGAAAAATGATTGTAGAAATTACTTGACTGTCAATGAAATGCCTTGCATGTGTTCGCACTGTGTATATATATAACAAATTGCTGTTGAGGCTATGCTTTGCACACTTACTTATTACACCATTAATTTTCCCATGGAAATTGTTTTTTCACGCTTTGATTTTAGTGCGCTCATGTCACTAAAGTCGTAATTTGATTAGTCGCGCTTATTTTAATGGCTGTATGTTGTCGTTTTAATTACAAATTAATTTAATTGGTTTTCGCTGAAAGTTTTTACGCTTATTAGCACACGTGCTGTAATTGCAATCACCTCTAATTTTACCACGATTTAAAAAGCTTAAAAGCCTAGCGCAATCTCTCCATTAAAAAGTTATGACAACACTACTACAGCTCACTTTTTGCTAATTAGTTTTGGCTAAAAATTATATCACACATGAGTCTATTTTCGCCTCCAATGTGAATTAGTCTGAACTAGGTGTGTGAAAGCAAGCCGATCTATTGCTGTTCGCTGCGCGTTGTTGTTAGTAAAGTATTAGTTCCTTACTCATGTATATAGACATATCTCTAGAACTTGTGATTGATTTCGGTGATTATGCTTAGTTTCGTAGGTATGAATATGGACAAAATCGCTATATCTATTAAGTATTTTTCAGACTGAAAAGTTATTATAATAAGAGCTGCTGAAGTGCTTTATCCGATCTAAAACAATACCCGCTCGTTGTGATCCCAAAATTAGCTAAAACAACAGTAAGTCAAAGTGATGATGGAGCTTCCTTTTTGCACTCCGCATTTCTTTTACCGAATGTGTTTGGACGCTCATAATTTTTTCTAATAATTTAAGTCTGTAAGTATTATAAACATATGTATATATATGCACGTAGAAGTGCCACTTCATAGATTAGATTAAAAAAAGACGAATAAAGTAGTGATCCTGGATTATTGTAATTTCACTAAGTTTTCCTGGTTTTCCACGTAACTTTTTTACCGTTTGATTTTTGAAAATGGCATTGCAGCACAATATTCTTTATAATATCGACACCTGAGTGGAAGGTCGACCTATGTCGGCAGCCAGTTCGACAACGCCCAGTCACAGAAAATTTTTCGAAAACGCTTTATTTCAGAATTTTATTGGAAAACGCCCTGTCACAGAAAACTTTTCAAGAACACCCTATTTCACAATTCGATTCAAAAACGCCCTGTCTCAGCGGCAATATATTCTTCAGACTTCAGATTCCGAGCTTGAAAATTGAGTTTCCTTTTTTTCAGTGTCGAAAATCAAAAGTTTTTGAGATATGCCCAAATATGTATGTATGTATAGTGCTTATCATAACTAAGCGACTCTCACATATTAATAAATTTTGACTATTTGAAACTTAATTATCTTTTACAAAAATATAGTTTAAAAAAGTTTGAAAATTTTTATCTTTTTAACTCGATTTCCTAGAAAAATTTAGAGTATATAATTTGATATAATAAAATGCACCTTTTAAGTAGCTAGGACTTACCTTTGATTTTTGGTATTATTTTTTTATTGACAATGTCAGCCAAATACGATGTCCGTTCGTGGATTTTTTTTTCTGGAGAAGATGAGCGTTAGCATTGAACATTAAAAATTTCCGAAAACTGCAAAACTGCGTGCTCAAGATATTTCTAAAATAAATCTATTTTCTAAATTTGTTGTTGTTTTTTTTTTTTAATACAGCACAAAGATTGGAATTTGAATTTATACGGTTTTTTGTTAAAGAGAGTATTTTTATTACAAAAAATTGCATTTAAAAAATAATTAAATAACTAGTCAAAACTTGTCAATATGTGAGTGTCGTATAGATATGATAAGCACAATACTTCAACATGAAAACCCAATCTCTCACAAGAAAACCTAGCTCAATCAGGGCACTCAAACTCGATTGGCCAATTTCTCTCCACGATATACCGAGAAAGTCATTTAGTTTCATGCCCGCTATCTGAACAAGGCTAGCAACGCAATCTCAATCCGAAGTGGTTGAAATGCATCGACAAAAAATGTGGGGAACTGATTCTTCCTCGTCTTCTTGACGGCAGTTCCTGCAGCTAAAGTCAGTTGATATACGCTATCGTTGAAACTTTGTAGTAGGGCAAGCGTTCGCTAAATTAATACAGTGACCGCGAAACCATTAAAAGGCAGTAGACAAGATAGTTGGAAAGATTTTGGTGGAACTACCTTCTTTTTGTATCATGCAAATTATAAAAATTTTGTATTTATCAAGTGCACAGAATCGGGCTGTAAACTGCTTCATGTTCCTTTTTAGCGGTATGCTTTTTAAGAATAATTTTCAGTTTAACATTTTGTTGGTGTTGTGTTTTTGTTAATATTTTCTTTTTCTTTTCATACACATATCTATGTATGTATGTACTTAAGGGCGTTTGAGATTTCTCAATTTATTATTTTGATGCCGCTCTATGCATTTTTAGTATTTCCCCATATCAAATCAAAAAAATCCATTTAAATAACAAAGGATTTTTGGACTTTTGCATTTATTTTATTTTTTTCTCTGAAACAAATAACAATGACCAATGTGTATTTTTATAGAGAATTGAACGCTCTACAAAAAAAGGACACTGTACTGTACATAAGGGTCATTCCATACAATATTTACACCTCAAAAATTTTTTTTTGGATGAAATATTTTTTTTTTACATTCTTTATTGAAAAACAGAAGACACTGATTTTTTTATTTCGTCATGATGTTCGAAAGTCTCGAAAAAAAAGTTCCCGAAATTTTGAACTCTCGAAGAAGTATCTTTTTTCAATTGTTTGCAGTTAATTAACTATTTCTCGGAGAAAATCAGTTGAGGTATCAAAATGTGCGTAATTACCTCGGCTTTCCACGAAAGTGTGAGATAGATTAGATAAAAAAAAACAATTTCTATTAAAAATTACATTTTTTTACTTTTTATTTTTTTCGTTAACTTCGCCGTGTTCGATTTTTACTTTTTTCCACCTGAATAGTTTACAAACTTTATGAAGTGTGCTGTAAAATTTGAGAATGGAAACACCCAAAACTGTAAAAGCCGAGGTGTAAATATTGTATGGAATGACTCATATATTTGTAAATTGAACTCATTAAACAAGGTTGAATTAAACATGGAAGTTTATTTGATTATAAGGGGCAACGGATCTTATCAGACGAAATAAGGTTTTCTACCTTGGGGATTAATACTCATCTAGCTTAAGGCTTTCAAAATATAAATACCTATAAGTTAGGCTTCTTGAAAAGATGCCCACATCTTTCACTGAGGCTGCTTTGGGTGGATAAAATTAGCCTCTTGCTATTTGGATACTAGCAATTTAGTCTGTGTATTGTTAAAAGTAGGAATTTATAAACAGAAAAATTATTAAAGAACATTAAATATTTCTTGATAATTCATACCTACATATGTACGTGCATACTATTTACCTTAACACACAAATTTGCTTGCCAATTTCAGGTCTTTCCTGCCGTTATGGCAAAAATCCATGGACTGAATGTGACCAAAAAACCAACACACGCTCACGAACGTTGACATTGAAGAAGGGCGATCCGGCATGCGATCAAACGCGAACCATACAGAAGAAGTGCAAAAAAGGTAAGTGAAAAGGACATTACAAATTCAAAGCTTAAAAATTAAAGCGACTATGAAAAATTTGTTGAAATATTAAAATTTGTGAGACTTCCATATTAAAATTTGTGAGATTAAAGTCATTTGCGCCTAAATGTATGCTATAATTTTTGGCAAATGGCCGTTTTCACTTTGCACTGCGTTTGAGCAAATGCGATCAGTAGCTCACAATCACAGCGCGCGCAGACTTTTCTTGCAGCAGCATAATTGCTGACATTACTGTCCCTGCTGTTATTGTTTGTGAGCGCCGCCGTGACGCCATCACCATTAACTTCTCGCCAATCTGCACAGCCATCACCACCGACGCCATGACCATCATCATTATTGCGCCTCGCTGGCACGTAATTACTTTTTATTATTTTTCCGTCCACAGCGGGTGGACATTGCAGGCTAGCGCTGTTGATTGGGCATAGACCATGCAAGGCGCACACGCAACCACATAACAGCACATGGATATAGCGAAATGAGAAGAAAGAGACCAGCTATCAAAAACTGGTGGCGCGGAAATTGAGGAGGTCAAAATGTCCATTACAAATGGCAGCGAAGCAACGGCGCTGCGGTGGATCGCATTTGCGGTAAATGGCAAATTTTGCGGATGTTAACAGTTAATACGGATTACGTAGAACCTATAAAGCGAAAGAAGCAAGCAATTTTGTTGAATGCAAAAGTAAAGTTATTTGGACTTATAACAATAGCGGTAGCTGATTGCATCAAATAATAAATAATCTTTAAAAAAGTATTCTATTTTTTGGTGGTTTTGAAGATAACTACTACTGAATCGTGACTTGAATTTCGTAGGGCTTATTTTCCCCAAAAGTGCAACTAGAAATTTGTGCTTTTGGGGGGAAAACGTCAGTTTTGATGACTCCTCGAATTTGGTAATCGTTTCTACGATATGTTAACTCCATACCACAATACAAAAGTAAGAAGTTAACTGAGTGCGTGTAGTCCCTACGCGCGGAAGAAGTGAAACTTAATCGAAAAAATTCCAGAATGGAAGAAGTTAGAAGAAAATTTTCTAACATATATGTACCTATTCAGTTTTCTTCTTTATTTGAACCAGCTTTATTTCTATTTTTTTATAATAATCTGCCTAGTTTAATTATTATTAGCGGCTGAGGGAACATTCATATCTACAATATTAATCAGGGACCGAAAATAACAACTATTCACTTCTTCGATGTCTGACAGTCCGGGGCAAAACATTGTCGTAGAAGAAAGTTATCAATGTTCTTTTGATGCCAGGACATCTTGAACATTAATCCTGAATTCTTTTTATTTTTCGAACTTTTTAGGAAAAAGTCCAGTAATAACTGAAAAATCCGGACTTTTATTTTTTAGTGCAGGAATAACAGTTAAACTTGGCCAAATATTATTTAAGCCCGATATAGAAGTCATTTTCTAATAATAAACAAACCGCCAATCCAAATTAAACAAATTTGGTATCAAATTAAAGAGGACTGATATACCTAAACCACCGTTACCACCTATTTATATTTATTTGTATAATTTAATACACAAGAAATTCATATACTTAATTTATAATTTAATGTTTTTTAACAGGTGGCATTCTTCGTTTAGATATTTCACCTTGAAAGCTATTATTTTCCTCTTTCATTTGATACCAAATTTGTTTAATTTGGATAAACGGTTTGTTTATAATTAGGAAAGGACTTTTATTTCGGCCTTAAAAATATCTGGCCAAGTTTAACTGTTATTACTGGACTAAAAAAGTACAAGTCCCGGCTGACCAATTATTTTGTTTCAAGTAAAATAAAAGCCCAAAAAATAACTTTTTTCTAACGACTTTTATTATCAAAGTTGGATTGCTCTCAATTAAGTTGAGGTGAGCTGAGTTGTGGTGCGATAAGGTAAGGGAAGATGAGGTAAGGTGAGTTAAGATTAAGATGATATCAAACATTTTAAATTTGAGTTGTCTCTATACCTTCGACTCTCTATCTTCATCTATCTTTATTTTAATCTTCATATATACCTGTTTCGTCATCTTTGTTTTTTACTTTGTCTAGGTCTTTGCCTTTATCTCTATTTTTCTTTGTCTTTGCCTACATCTTCATCTTTTTATTTGTCTTTTGCTTAGACGTTTACCTTTGGCTTTGTGTTTGCTTTAATCCGAATCTCATTCTTTATCTTAACTTCAATCTTAGTCCGAATTTTCAACATCATCTGCGTCTTCGCCTTTCTCTTGAATTTGATTTTTTAAAAAGGTGGCAACCCTTCTACATGTATTTAAAAAATATAGCTTTTTCAATACTAACTATTCGAGACAAATCCTGTTAACGAAGCGATATTCTGCCGAAATCCGCAATAAAGTCTACGTTTTGCTAACTTTAGTCCTACAATTGCCACGCCTGGGGGTTTGTCGCCTTTAAGAAAAATCTTGCTGTACAAATATTATACCTGGATAGGTATTCTATGGGAATCCCCAACAAAATTTAAATTTTTCCAAAAAAACGATTTTTAAAGCTTTGCTAAATATATCTCAACGTAAGTTTTCGTATACAAATTACAAAAAATTGTTAATTCTTACAAAATAAACCATCTCGTCATAAAGAAAAATATTTTAAAAATAGTTCTTGAAAAACGCCGATTTTTGCAACACATTTTTAATAGAGAATTAAACAAGGATTACGATGGTATAATTCGATTACGATGGAATAATCGAGCTACTAACGAAGAAAATCGATGGATAAATAAAGAATGAATGAGTGATCAAATGAAAATCCGCAAAGATTTTTTGTACGCAAAATTATCCGGAAATCATGTCACTCATACGCCATGTACACCATACAAATTATAAAAATTGACAAATAAATCCTAATTTTTTAGTTCGTAAGATATACGTGATCACGCTGAATAACGGCAAATTGCAAATATCTCGAAAACCTGTCCATAGGAAAAAAAAATGATATTCGGACTCATAGGAATTGGATAGTGGCATACGGTGAACAAAAAAAAAATTGTGATCCAGTGCTATCAGCCTCTATTTTAATCCCAACAAACCTATCGGAACGCAGGTGCCCTGTCAATGATGACATGTTACTACTTTTACCATAAGTCCAAAATCCAAGTTGACCTTAGGGCGAAGCTTGAGTCATAGCCGAAACTATATATAACCTAGTGGCAAAAGGTTTTTTGGAAGCCTTTGATGAGAAATCTGCTTGAATTAAATTCATGAATAATTGCTCTGCGCTTTAGGTTTTTTTCTACTGGAGAAGTTAAAATAGAACAGGATAGCGGACTTCAAAGGCATGCCACTAGCAATCAGGTTATTCTTTAGACAAACTGGTGAACAAACCAAGGCAAGCATGGCCCAAATAAGTCTGAAAATGATAGTGAAGAAGGTTGAGTGTGCTTTAAAGCAGATTTTTAAAATCAGTGGATGAGCAGTTAGAGAGAACTGCCAGTCGATAGAACCCAGATTCGATCGCTCGTTCGCGCAACATATAAAATAAAAAAAAATGCCTAATATCGGTCGAGCCACGGCAGGTAATGGCAAATCCCCGAGTGTACTGTTTTCATGAAAAGTTTCTCATAAAAACCATATCGATGGTCAAACATTAGCAACTCACAACTGAAATTTTTTCTGAATTTGAGATTTCCCACATAAAAAAAACTTCTAATAAAGTGTGTCCGCTTTTGATGTATATATGTACATAACTCAATTTCGAAAAAAATTATAAGTCATGAGTTGTCAATGTTTGGCCATGGATATGCCCTTCGGTGTCGGTCTCTCCGCACACCACAAATTGAGGAGAAGAAAATATTTAAAAATCTGCACGGATGCAAAAGTGTCAATCCTACGGACGCTAAGCCAGGTGCCTAACGAACTGATTAAGTTTTTCTGAGAGACGAGGTGATTCAGCCAGGTGGGTATATAAAAACTCCAATAAAATCTAACTTAATCAGTTAAGACTTAAGTACTTCCGTTCCCTATATCTAATTCTATGATCATATAGCATGTTTTCTCATAATGCACTTCCGCTATTAACCCACTTCGTTTTTTACTTTTACTACTACGTAAATGTCCTGCAACATGCCACAAAATGACATGGAACACACTCGTGACACATTAGCTGAAAAGTTACTCCATTTACACGACAATGCAGTCACACAGGCATTGGCGCATTTATGACGATACAATAGAATATTACGGCATATTTACAACGACACGTTCGCTTCCTAGCACTTCGCTTAAAGGATATATGTATAACCCAAGGCAACATAATGCAGCAAATTACTGCACCTACATACTTCCTCCCACTAAAGTGAACATTTGTG